CAGACCAGAGCCCAGGACAGAATACAGGGACCTACAGGGAGACAGGAGACTGCAACTGAGATGAAGAAGTAGTCAGAGAGCTGAAGTGGAGAAAAATCAGAGCATGGGTGTCTGAATGCCAAGTGAAGTCAGCCGGTAAGGAAGGAAGGATAGATAGTTCAATAATGTCTAATGACGAATAGAGGCACAGGGAGGTGAGGACCAAAGAACACCCCGGTAGTATTGAAACTTAGTTACCTGTATAACACGTTGGCCATTTTGTGTGTGTTTCCTCATTCTGACTTTAATTTTTGTGAATTTTTGCTTTTTTTTTTTTCCTCTGAAGTAAATGGATTTGGCAGTTAAAACATCTTCAATATTGGCAGAAGAGAATGCCCATCTGCTGGAAAACCTCATCTTACTATTTTTTTAGCAATACTTATGAGTGGGGAACATATGTTCGGCCTAGAAATCCTGATTGAAGTTGCAAAATACATCCCTAGTATGTCTTTGTTTCTTTGTTTTTGAAGACCATTTTTTCTGATAGTGAATAAATTATTAGTGAATGATATGATAATATAATAGTTGCATACCTATACAAAATTAAAAGGCCAAAAAGGAATCATATTGTGTCCTGATTAACTTCATGTTTGAAAAAGAATTTAAAAGCAGTCTTTTGATATGATTAATAAAGGGAAATAATTAAATGCCAAACTGTAATATACGAAGTGCACACATGTATTAAAATTTAATTGAATTTCAGTCATATAGAAAATTAAACAACCATATTTTGTTACATAATAACATAAATATTTCAAAATAAACGTATGGCATAAAATATTTTATGAGGCATTAAAATCTCAAATATTGAGAATGATTGATTCAGTAATAGTAAAGTGCATGGTCCCAATAAATATAAAATGCTAAAATTTCAATATATTTCCTGAATGTATGATGCAAAATTCATTGAGTAAACTTTCTCTATTTTCATATGTGCTCTATAAAGGTAATTAAGTTATTTAAAAAATAATTATAGGTATGATCATTGTGTTTCACACAAGAAGTCTTATTTGAAATATAATCTATAGACTTGAATTATAAGCAATTCCTTGATTTGAAGCAATATTCATGGAGTAAGTGATTAATCATCTTTGTATTGTTTTTATTGACTTCCTAAGAATGAGTTAGATCGTGCTTGCTATGTTTTAATAATTTACCTATGATGCATGTGGTAGCGGTTATGATTATGAGCAGGGTTGTTGTATTTATTCAAACATGAAAACTGTAAATTCCTTTTAAAGCCTTTAATTTTTATAAATCTTGCTACGTTCTCCCTACGTGGTAGAGTATGAAACTAAAGTGCCTCAGGAATATAGTTTTCATTGGTAGGTTTTAGTCAGAGTTGAGTAGGCATTGCTCTTTTATTATGTTTGCAAAGAACATAATTGGAAGCCAAGGAAACCCTTCCTGGAAGAACATGCAGGATTTTAAGAAGCAACGAGCATACTAAATAAAAAGAGGCTGATAAAACATGTGTTTAAGTTTTACTGCATTTCAGTGTGCCTGTAAGCAAGTGGATAGGTACAATGGATAAGCTAGAAATTGTAAATCATAAATATAGAAATGCAGTGTTTTGGGAAAAATATTTGAATGCAGGTAAGAGTTTATTTTCACTTACTGTGTGTAGCATAAATGCCATGTGTTTGGTCATCCTTTTACACAAAACAAGCATAAAATCTTTCTTTTTCCTACTTCGATGTGAGCAGAGCCCAGACGGCCGTGTGGAAGTCAAAGGGCAGCGTGGACGCTCATCCCTGAGCATCACGGACGTGAAGTTGTCGGACTCAGGGAGATACGACTGTGAAGCTGCAAGTAGAATCGGAGGGCACCAAAAGAGCATGTACCTTGACATTGAATGTAAGTTATTTTCATTTTGTATGTTTATTCAATCAACTTTTTTCTGCTTCGGAAAATATGAGTTTTTGTAGGAAGATAAAATACATATGTGGTTCATGTTTCAACATTTTAATGCATAGCTTTAGCCCTTCAAAGTCAGTTATTGGAGACATCTAGTGGATGTATGCAACATTTCACAGTGCTGTATAGATTTAATGGTCTTCATATTGCTTATCGTGAAAATTAAGCTTTGTGTGGCAATCTATAACACAGAACACCACATCAAATGAACTAGATTATTAGTGATCATTATTAGTTACCAGTAATTGGTCAATATCTTCTTAGATTCCTGTTTATTGTATAATATTAATGGTCCTGTGACCCACATACGAGTAGGTAGTAAGAATTGTCATTTCTTATTCAAGTTGTTTTTGTTCAATTATTTTATATCCTCATAAGATATGACATAGTATTTTTAAAGTGGTTAAATATATCAGCATTTATATTTTATCAAAATGGTATTTATTATCTGAAAGTGGGGATTATGACAAGGAGAGTTGTTAAATAATTATAAAATTTTTTATAACTGTGACATTTGTGAAAAGTGAAGGCTAATGAAAATGGAACTTTACACAATCCACCTTAAGTTATTGCATGTGATTTTAGAGTAATTTGGTATACATGTCCTTAAAAAAGGAAGAAATTTAATATTATGCTCAAGAGCTAAGTCAGGAATCATCAATGTTGGAGGTTCCCTGATATTTGAAAGGACATAGCTGTCTTAGAGGGGATGTAAAAGAAACTCTTATTGACAAAATGTTTCTATTGGAGAATTTCTAGTACATTATTATTCATAGGATATGATGGTAACTGTAAAACAAGTTTTCTCATTGAGAATGCCTCTAGAAAGCAAATATTTTCTCAAGAACAGACACAAAAAATCCATATTATTTTACATATTTACTAACCGTGACTCAAGAAATTAATGGAAAGGGCCAGCCGAGTGGCTCAGTTGGTTAAGAGCTCACTCAAGAGTTTGAGCTCTAAGCAACAGCGGTTCGAGTCCAGCCCGAGCTGAGCAGCTGCTGAGCTGCCAACAGGTAGCAGGATGGCTCAGCTTAAAAAAAAAAAAAAATTAATGGAAAGACCAACTAAACAATTTATGTCTGGGCTTTCTTTATAATATTCTGTTGGTTGAAAGTTTGCATTAAGGTGAATAATCCATTTTGAGTTCATTTTTATAGAGTCACTATGTATTATTTTTCTATACACATATCCAAGTCATTCGACACTATTTTTTTTAATTTTATTATTTTTATTATTTAAAATTAGTAATGAAAAACTGTCTTTACAGAATATCTTGTAGAAAACCATCTTTGAATAATAAAGTTCAGCTATTCTTGTTGAAGCCCATTTGTCAAACCTCAAAACCCACCACCTTCCAGGTGGTCTCTGAGGAGATGTTGATGAAACACACTCTTCATTGAGGACAGCTGGACAATGAAAAGTGACTGTAGGTTGCAAAAGCATGCTGCCAGCCCCATTTTTTAAAATTTTATTAAATTAATTGAGATGACATTGGCTAGTAAAGTTACATAGGTTTCAAGGGTACAATTCTGTAATACATCATCTATATATCACATTGTGTGTTCACCAGCCAGAGTCAGTTCTCCTTCCATCACCGTATATTTGACCCCCTTTACCCTCTTCTGCCTCCCCCCTCCCCCCTCAGCACTATTTACTGAAAAGACTTTTCTAGCTAAGGGTTTGCTCACAGTGTTGATCTTTACAAAGCATTATCTTTTGGATTTACTAATTTATATTCTGTATCATACATCTGTTTTCTAGTTTGTTGATTTTGGTTTTATCTTTATTATTTCCATTTCTCTATATATTTTGGATTTACTTTGCTCTTTGCTTATAAATTCTTAAGGTGGAATATTAGCTCATTCATTTTAGATATTTCTTATTTTTTCATATAACCATATAAACTCTAAATCTCTCATTAAGCAGTGGTTTAACTGCATCCCACAGATTGTAATATGTTGTATTTTTGTTGTCATTCAGTTGAAAATATATAGTTTTTAAATTTTCTTTGAGTTTCATCATTGCCGTATAGTTATTTATAAGGATACGTTTGACTTCCAGATATTTAGTGTTTTTGTAGATATTTTGCTGTTATTGATTTCTCACTATGGGTACTTCGAAAAACATATGTATCCTGCAGTCACAGGATCTCATGTTCTATAAATATCAATTAGCTCAAGGTGGGTGACAGTGTTTAAATCTTACACGTCTTCGCTGAATTTTACTGGATAGCTGTTCTATCAGAATGAGGTGTGAAAATCCTCTACCACAGTTGTAAATGTTTTTCTCTCCCTTTAAGCCCATTGTTTTTTGCATCATATATTCTGAGGCTCAGTGAGGCAATACACATTTATAACTTGTATGCTGTATTAGCATCCTATTGCTGCTATAACCATGACCACGGACTTCATTGCTGTAAACAACAAAAATATCTTTCTGTTCTGGAGGTCAGAGGTTCAAAATCTTTCTCACTGGGATAAAGTCAGGTGTCGGTAGAGCTGTGTTCCTTTGTGGAGACTTTAGGGGAGATTCTGTTTTCTTGTCTTTTTCAGCTTCTACAGTCTGCCCACATTCCTTGGCTCACTGTCCCCTTTCATCTTCAAAACCAGCAATGGTAGACGCAGTTTCTGTCACTCACATCACATTACTCTGACTCTTCCTTTCTCACATCTCTTTTCTCTGACTCACCTGCCATTACAGTGGACCCACATTGGATAATCGAGGATAATCTTGTCAACTCAACACCTTTACCTTAAAGACAGCCCTAAAGCCCCTTTGCCATGTAAAGTAACATGCTTACAGGTTCGGGAAAGTGTGATGTGTGCAGATAGATAGATAGATAGATAGATATAGATATAGATATCTCTTTATATATATCTTTGTCATAAATCATTTCTTCTATTTTCTCCACTGATCTCTTTGAGCGCAATGTATTTTGTCTAATATTCAAATAGGTACTCAAACCATTTACAGTTACTGTTTATACACCTTTTTTCATTCATTTACTTTCCCCTTGTGTTTTATTTTTAATCAAAGTTAATTGTTAGTAAAGTTACATAGGTTTCAGGTGTAAAATTCTGTAATTTTTATGTGAAATTAAAATGTGTCTTATTAGGCAGCATATAATAGAATATTGCTTTTTCACCCACTCTGTCAAGCTCTGCCTTATAATTAGTGTTTAAGCCAGGAGTCATCAATAAATGGGTCAGGTAATAAATATTTTAGATTTTGCCTGGTTTTCTGGGTCTCTTTCACAAACAAACCATTCTAAAGGCTTTTTGCATTATTTTGCTCTTCTAGACAATTAAAAATATACAAATTATTCTTAAGTGTAAGCATAAATATAAAAGGTCCTTAGACTATATTTTGCCAAAGGCATAGTAGGCCAGCCATTGGTTTAGACTATTAAATTTAGTACAGTTATTAATATGGTTTCATTTAGGTCTGCAATTTTATTTTTCAGTTTTTTCACTGTTTTTTCATGTTCTGTTCCCATTATTCTGTCTTTTTAGTTACTAGAAGATTTCAATATTTTAATTTATATATTAATAATATCTTTTAGGTTTGTGTTTCATTTTGATTTGCTTAAGTGATGTTCTAGGGATTATAATATACAAACTTAACATTTTATAATCTATATACAGTTAATATGTTAACACTTTAAATTAAATGTAGAAACCTTGCAACTATGTATGTCCCTTTATACCTGACCCCCGCAAATCTTTTTATTATTGATTTCCTATGTAATATATCTACATTCGTTGAAATCTAACTGAAAATTATGATAATCTTTGTTTCAAAGTCATAAATATTTTAAAGAACCAAAGAGAAAATAAAATATTGTTATGACTGATTTATTTACTATTTATTTTACTCTTCCTTCATCCTTTATGATTCAGATGTCCTTCTGATATTATTGTCCTTCAGCCTGAAGAAATTCCGTCTCCATTTATTATAGAGGATATTTGTTTGGGATACATTCTATTATTTTTCTTTAATCTGAAAAAAATCCCACCCCCCTTCCTCCATTCTGAATGATCTTTTTCCTGGAAAGAGTTCTAGGTTGATATTCTTTAAAGATTGGTTTCATTGTCTTCTAGCTTTTTTGGTTTCTGATGAGAAATCCGTGATCATTTGAATTGTGGATCCCTTGTGTGCCACTTATCCTTTGTCTCTAGATACTTTCAAATTATTTTCTTTATCTTTGTGCTTTGATTAGAATGTGTCTAGGTCTGGTTTTCTTTGGGTTTACCGTGTTTGGGGTATACCGGGCTTTTTTCAGTCTCTAAATTTGTATTGGACAATATATCTGGGCAGTTTCTGATCACTATGTCTTCACATATTTGCCCCATCCTAATCTCTCCCTCATGTCCAGGGTTTTGCTTACACACATGTCAGGACTTTTGAAATTATCTCAGACATCTGAGACACTGTTCAGCTTATATGTTGTATTTATCATGGTCCATCAGATTAGTCAATTTCTGCTGTTAGTTCAAGTTAACTGACTCGACACCCTCATCTCCTTTCTCCTAAGCCCACCCAGGGAGCTTTTTATTTTATTTAAGATGCCATATTTTTTAGTTCTAAATTCCTAATTTTGTGTTATTTTAGTTTCTATGCTGACATTTCTCTCCTTTTCCTTTATCTCATGGAGCATAGTTAAAATAGCTGTCCTGGAATCTATATCTGACAGATTCAGTATCTGGGCCATCTTAGCACGTGCGTATGTTGCCTGTCCTTTCCCGTTTTAATTGGTTATATTCTCCTGGCTCATTACATGTCAAGAAATGCCGAATTGTGTCCTGGATACTGTAAATATTATGTTGTGCAGATGCCGTGTAATTTGACAACCATCTGGAAAAAGTGTTTTTAAGCAAGAAATCACCCTTAAATTCTGTGTTGCCTCCTGTGGGCTGTGATTCAAATCTCAGTTG